CAAGGCAGTTTAGAAGTTACACAGAGAAAAATAAGCTTTGATTCAGTGCAGTGGAGATTGTGCCCCAAGGCTCACAGTGGTGATTTCTTGAACCAGATGTTGTGCTTTGGTGCTGTTGTGCTTCAGACAAAGTGGAGTCTGAACAGATATTTCAGGAAATGCATTCAATACGGTTGATTCATGATTATTGAGACCTGGGCTTAGCATATGTGTTCATTTTGTTTTTAAGTTACATCTCTTTTGTCAGGCCTGGGATATAAATAAACTCATTTCCTTTGGTGCCTCATTCCCAAAGGATGCAAAAAGAACCATCTTGTTTCAGGAGGAGACTTGCTTTACTTGCTTTTCCCAGCCTGTCTAATCAGCCTCTCTCCACTTGGGGCCACAGCTGCTGGCCTTTTTTTGGCCTCCTAACAGCTACTGCAGTGTCAAGGGACAGAGAGAAGTATGTCTCTTTCCTCACTCCAAGAGTGGAAAATTAACCCTTTCACTCTCTTGCCAAGTAGAGTGTATGCCCACCTAATCACAGCAATCCACAGACCTCCTGGTGCATTGGTTTACTTAGGAAACGTTGAGTGAAGGCTTTGAAGAGCTTTAATGTCTTTAATTTACCAAGGTGATCAGAAAGCAGGTGGTGTATTGTTAAACAATTCCAGACATAACTAAGTATGATAATTATGTGTTTTGGTGCTGTAAATGTGTTTTAATTACTATGAATTAACATCAGTTAAAACCACTGGAGCAACTAGTGAAGAGCTGTGTAAATGCACTTCTGGCCCTGTAGTCTGTATGCTGCAGGTCATGTGAGGAAGTCAGCTGAAATTCAACGTATCGGTGAGGAGGCTCAGGTGTTGCACAGATTTTCTTTAACTTGGATAAACCATTTAGTCTTACTATCCCCAGCTTCTTCTCGTGCTGCCTGCCAATTTGTAAAATACACTGGAAGTAGTGAAGTGCTTTGATCTATTTATTTAGATGGAACGATTTGGAGCAGAGATCACTTTTTACTGTGTATCCTGAAAGCACATATGAAACCCCCTTCTCTGTAGTCCAGCTAAGCAAACACTCACAATATGATATTCCAAGAGGATGGCATTACAGCAGGTAACACTGCATGTTGTTAAATAAAAGATAGCAGATTTCCATCTGTGACCTTTCTAGAGGTAATTTAATTAGAGTAGAATTCATTATGGATATGCAGGTTACACAGCACATCCATTGCCCAGATTGCATAACCCAGTCTCTCATGTTGCCAGAGAAAAAGTAGGCAAGCAAGAGCACAGTGGTTGTTAGACACTGTTGCCCGAAACCAAACTCTTAAGGAAATGAAGAAGAAATAAATTTCACAAATGACTTGTACTTATTTTATTAACTATCATCATAATCTTCCAAAGAAAAATATAATTCAAGAATAACTCACCAGAAGAATACAAAGGGATCTTAACAGTAGAGAAGGCTTATTAGATTTCAGAAAACAGAAGGAAACCCTCAGTTATCTGAATGCAGTCTGTAATTATTTAAATTTTTAATGAAAAATAATTTTAAAAGCCAACATGAGCTGTCTCACACAAATTGATTTTCTAAAACATTTAAAATCATTTGGACGCTTCACTTTTGTCTGTATTGTTTCTTCCTTTTATTCCCACAGCACTTTCCCCTCTGCCTGTGCAGATCAGAGTAGCTGCCTTCTGCAGAACAGCAATCTCATTTTGTTTACCTTGTGTTTCAAAGAGAATTGAACAAGCCCAGGATTCGCCTTCTCTAAACAAATACTGGCAAGACAAAGGTATCACAGCTATTCTGGGGACAAGAGGTTTGCTGAGATGGAGAACAGTAAAGACTGGCAAGAAAAAAAAGTCAATGTGTTTTTATCTGAAAAAAAAGCTAATCCTTTTCACAGCCTCATTTTCTTTGCTTTTGAGATAGCTTTCCTTTTTCATTTAAGTTTTAGAGTTTTTCAGCTAAAGGAAGCAAGAAACCGAGGTATTTTCTTTGTTCCTGTCAAGTAGCTTGAACAGTTTGAGAACAGAAACCAGTCAGAGCAGTGTGATTAGCGTAGCCAATTAGGGCGGATTTGCATATTCACAACACGGCTATCGAGAAATAATTCTGCAGAGATAACGCAAGTGTGACAATGCCTGTCTGCCAATCAGGGCACCCTGGCTCCCGTGCTATATGGTAATTGAGAAACAACCATAGCGTGATGGTGCAGATTGTGCCCCTCGAGCCAACCCACGTGCTGGCACTGTGCAGCTGGGGGAGAAAGCCCAGTTGTAGGGCAGTAGCGATACGGTACCCCTGGACACCAGAAAAGGTTCACCTACAATCTGTCTACCTCAAATACAACAGCATCTGTCGAATGAGTTTGTTCTCCCAAGATTCATTCCAGCTACAGCTAGTGCTAACTGCCACTTTCAGGGGCCCAACCTCATCAGGAGTTTGGGGGACTTGGCTTTTAATGAGATGGCAGTTGGCCAAGGACTGAGTGCCTTGCAGCCCCTCCTGCCCTTCAGCTCATCCAGTGGTCCTTGGGCACGGCAGGGAGCTAGACGGTGCACTACACAAGGGGCAGAAGATGAGCTTTGTCCAATGGCCTAAAGGATGTGCAATAAAGCTCTGCTTTCTTCTGCCCCAAAAGGCCTTTCACCAGGGTGTTGTCCAAGCAAGCAAACAGCCCTTCAGGAAACCTTGTAGACACTGTTGGATAACAAACTGGGGCGGATGATCACAGCAGCTTTATTATCTTTGAAAGTGAAAAATCGCCTCATATACTACAGCGACAACAGTCCGTGCTCCATCTCAGTGTTTCTCTGGCTCCTACCACTTGTCATCTCATACCAACAGCTGCCTTGCAGCAAGCGTTCAGGTGAGCATGACTGTGGCCAAGCAAGTGGCATACAGAGCCAGCTGCCACCCTGTGCCCGTGTAATCTGCATCTTCAGGATGCAGATTTTTCTTACCAAGATCTATTTTCTTTACCAAGGGGCTGACAAGTGATTGCCTGCAGCGTGCAGCATCCATGTGTGCTGATTTTAGAAAGAAATACAGTGATCTCTATCCTTAACGCTCTTGACTCCTCTTCGGTGCTGGGGGCTGAAGTCATGGGGTGCAATTGTAACAAATTGGGTCAGGAGGGACTCCCTGCAGTGTTCTCCTTGGGTACAACTACACAGGCCACAAGCACTTTCAAAACTGCTAAGGGAAAGGCAACAACACCAAAATTAACTTGCGGTACTTGCTGCTACAAGATATCAAGGAAAATGTAGCAAAATCCCTAAAATTAGGGTATTACACAAATCGTAAGTTTTTAAACTGGTGTCATAACCACCAGGGTTAGACTATGAGCTCCTTGCCACAAAGAAGCATTAAGCACATTTAACTGGGGAGAAATGTCTCCCTCCAGGAAGATATATTTTTTTTATAATCATCCATGATGGGGATTTTATACCTATCTCTGGAATACTCACTGCTGGTTTATCTAGTCCAGTAACCTATGCAAGATTTTTTTTTTTTTGAATGGTCTCAGTCTAGAGCATCCACAATTGTCTTTTTCCTTCTTATCCCCTTTGTGGCACCAGCTCTTTATTAGAAAGTTAATAAACTTTGTGTATGTTCTAAAGATAATATTGAAAACTACAAAATTGTGTTCTGCATTTTATAATTGGTGTGGAAAAAGGGGGAGATCTAATCCTATTGGGCCTTCTCTCTCTTTTGCTCTCTCTCTCCCTTTTTCCCTTTTGATGGTAAGCAGCAATTTTTAATTAGCTTCATTTCCACAATTCAGTCATGCATATGTAATCTTTGTTCACACTTTTATAAAGTAAAATTAAGTGAAAGAAATTGGGTAATAATAGAAAGCTTGTCTGAGCAGAACAAATGTGAATTATCAAACATAAGGAAAGATGACTGGGACTACAGGGCTTGAAGTTGTGCAAGGTTTGAGGTGATTTTTCTGTAACAGGAATGCATAAATAATGCATAGAAACAGGTGCTGATTATCCTGTTTTGGGCATCTTTTGTTCATTATATACTTGGGCTGCTGAGGTACAGTGATAACCACTGAATGTGAGGAGACTGCTTAATAACAGCTTTCTAATGTTTCTCTTTTATCATGAGCTGAAAGTGTCACATGAGCTTGTCTAGTTAATAAAAATCACTTTGTGAGCCCACTGTTCTTAGATTTGGTATTGGAGCAGATCACTGTACTGGGCCTCTCTCTTGATTATAGCTGCAAAAGCTGCTCTGCTGTTTTGCATTGTAATTTAAAGGTTTCCTAATCCATATACACACCCTCTAATTAAATGTTTCCAGGGGTTACCTTGGGAGCCTTTAGCACTATGGTTGGAAACTAAAGAGTGCATCAAATTCATTCCCCCTGGGGTGAGACACAGGAGGGAGAAGTACATTTTCATCCCCTGCCACTCTGGATTGTTTAAAAGCAGAGTATGATTGGAATTACTAACTTCATTATTTTTGTTATCTAACATGAGGAGATGGCAGTTTAAAGGGAGACAATCAATGTGTCTAAATCTCAAGTTCAGCTTATTTTATAACTTCTGAGAAGAATCTTTAGAGTCTAAGCAGTTACTTTAAGAAGCTACCAGTTCATCAGCAGCAACTAAAAACCAGAACATCCTGTTGATGTAAATCAGTCCATGGCTGCACAAGCCGCATGACAAGCACTATTGCTGCAGATACCAAGGTCTTCATTAAAGGAAATGTAAAGAAGTGAAGCATGTTGGCAGTAGCGCATACAAAAGTAAGGTCTGAAGCCCAGTTAATGTTAAACTAACGAGCAGACACTTTCTCTTCAGCGCCTGCTCCCACATTCAGCCTGACTCCACCAATCTAACAGCTTTAGCAAAAACACCTCTTTTTGTCCCTGAGAAGGAGCTCCTGTTACAGGAAGTGACGTTCTGACATGGGTGGCTTTGCTGCCAGTGACCAAGGATAGTCAAGATTTAGGTTAATGGTTAACAGAGCAGCTATAACCACACAGAAACTCTTTGACTTCCTCCTACTGGGAGCAGGACCAAAAGCTGCCTTCGTTTGCAGAGGTAGAGGCAAGCGTTGAAAGAGGAGCAGTTTACACCGCAAAGGGCTGGAGAACGGCAGGAAGGAAAATCCAAAAGGAGCAAGAGGTGCCTGCTATAAAAATAGGTAAGACCTAAAACACTTTCCTGCTTGCCTTATTGACCCAGAGGCTGTCGCTAACAAAACCCACAGGTGTGGCTAGTTGAGACGTGTTCGTTATACCTGACTGCTCTCACCTGTGTGTCTTGGTGAGAGAGGAAAAGCAAGAAAGGATCTCTTTGCTGTGAAGTTGAACGTCAGAGAGGGCTGGAAGGCTCTTCCTTCCTCCTCCTCCACTAGGGCTGCTCATGGCAGGACAGACGTCTGCTTCAGACTGTTCTCATCTCATTGACCACAGCCATGTACCAGAGTTTGAGGTGTCTCTTTGGATCAAGATCACTTTGGCTGCAGTATACGTCTGCATGTTTGTGGTGGGCATCCTGGGCAACAGCATCACCATCAAGGCCACCAGGATCCTGCAGAAGAAAGGCTACCTACAGAAGGAGGTCACGGACCACATGGTAAGCCTGGCCTGCTCTGATCTACTGGTCATCCTGCTGGGCATGCCCATGGAGTTCTTCAGTGCCATCTGGAGCCCCTTTTCCACCCCCAATGGCAACATAGCTTGCAAGCTCTACTACTTCCTCTTTGAAGCCTGCAGTTATGCCACTGTGCTGCATGTGGCCACCCTCAGCTTTGAGAGGTACGTGGCTATCTGCCACCCCTTCAAGTTCAAGGCAGTCTCTGGGCCCCGTACAGTGAAGCTGCTCATTGCCTTTGTCTGGGGGACATCTGTCATAGTAGCTCTGCCTCTGCTCTTTGCCATGGGCACGGAATATCCTTTGGAAATTATTGAGGGTTACTCAAGTATGACTACCTGTGTCAAACCTACACCCAGGCACCACCTCCCTCTGCTGAAGCAAAATATGACCATCTGTACCAGCCTCTCCTCCAAGTGGTCTGTCTTTCAGGCCAGCATCTTCAGCGCCTTTGCAGTGTACATCATAGTGCTGGGATCTGTTGCCTTCATGTGCCACAGCATGATGAAAACCCTGATGATCTACAAGGAAGGAACTGTAGCAGTGAAGGGTGGACCAAGACGGCAGGAGCAGTACCTAAGAAAAAGTGAGAGCTCGGAGGGCAAGAGCTCCAGGAGACAGATCACTTTATTCCTGGGTAAGAGCCGCGTCCTCCCCTGCCTCTCCTCCCCTGCCTCTCCTCCCCTGCCCCCTTTCCACATGGGAAGGAAACCCAGAGGTCTCCATAGTATCTTGCCAAGTTCCCCCAAATGGGAGATGTATGATTTGAAACTAGTGTGAAATGAGGGAGAGGGATACTTTTGGTTGTGATGATATATTTTAAGAAACCTGATTTCCTTTCATGTTTTTGACTCACTCTTTTTGTTGTTAGAACATGTGGGAGGGAAGAAGAAGGAAAAAACCCATTTACTGCCTGCTATTTATGTTGTTTGATTATACTGCATGCCTACATGCAGCAATGTGGGTAACAGGGTGTTGCTGCTTGGCCTTTGGGGTAGCAATAGGCAACGGTTGCCTGGATATAAAGCAGCTCTACTTGCAAGTTTTCCCTGTTAAATTACAAACAGGTGTATGTTTATGTAAGGCTCTTGATGGGAGGGAAGACTGTCTTGCAAGATCTGAAGCTTGTCCCTCTCCGAAGGCATGTCCCAGTTAATTCAGGATGTTCCCAGGAGGGTACTTAGCCTTGGCAGTAGTTGCTGTGTTGCATCTGGGCATTAAGAAAGCTGGGCTGGAGAGTTGATTCGGTCTTGCACATTGCTGTTGCCCTCTGATTTTTTTTTCTGTATTTATTTGAAGGCCTATAACCTTGGAATTATGTTTGATTCTGATCTCTCTTGCCACATTTGTCAGACAAAAACTAATCAAGCTGTCATTTCACCAACTTGGAATCTTTCCGGCCTGTGATCCATGTAGTCTCCACGTTTGTTGATGCTCTTAGAGGCACCCTTAATCATGTCCTGGCTGAATTACTGCTGGTTCTTGTTTTGTTGGGTTGCTTAATATGATACTGGATATAATAAATGAACCATCTAGACTATGAATGCACAGTAGACCTAGTATTCTGTGTTGCTTTTAGGTTCTCTGCCTGATATTGCAGAGGGGGAATTGAAACTTGTGGGTCTGACCACTTCTACAGCTTTAAGTACTTTTTTTTTTTTTTTTTAATAAATGAACCATCTAGACTATGAATGCACAGTAGACCTAGTATTCTGTGTTGCTTTTAGGTTCTCTGCCTGATATTGCAGAGGGGGAATTGAAACTTGTGGGTTTGACCCCTTCTACAGCTTTAAGTTCTTTTTTTTTTTTTTTTTATCATTTTCTGCTTCCTCATCTAGTACTGCTTTTATCATGGTTTGTGGCTGGAATGCAAAGCTGCAGAATAAGGAGCCCAGGGTGATCCCAGCTCCTTGTCTGCTACACCTGCATTAGAGTTGGAAACATTTGGTTCCCCATTAGGTTTGGGGAAAGGGTGGATCTGCCCACTGTACCAGCAGGGAGGGTGACAAAGGCTTCAAATGGGAGATGTGACACTCCAGGCTGTACAGAGCTTTTCCTCATGCTCAGTGGGTACACCTAACAAAGAAATTATCTCCTTGTGCAAGGTGTCTGTTAGTCCAGGACAAGAGGCCCTGTATCTGGGTGATTAAAAGGGCTCTCTGTATCCTTACTCCACTGGAAGTACTGATTTCTTGGGTAGAGGCTTGGCAGCTAACACTAAATGCAGCACTTTGCACAATGCAGAGAAAGAGATAAGGCTCTACTCTTTAAGTGCTACTGTGGGATCCTTAGATGTCTGTGGATCTCTCTCCCCTTGTAAATTATCATCCACAGCTCCATTAAAGCCCAGTCTAAGATCCAAATCCTGTAGTAAGTTCTAGCTAGGTTGAGAAATGAAGGTAAATTGCTGCGGCTTTTCTTCCCCTCCTTGATTATTGCTTCTGCTTGGTGATGGTCCAGTGTGGAATAGAGCAGATCTAGTGCTGTTGCAGAAGTGTTAAAAAAGCTAAAAGAAAGCAATTGGTTTGTCCTTTATCTTAAGAGAATTTGCCACCAATATCTGAAGATTCCTCTGTGCTTTCAGCTTTCTGGAGCCAGGAGATACTTCTGTGAATTCCCCAAAATGACTTTAGTGGCAAGACTCTTAATGTGGGTCTTGCTAATTTACTTGTGTTGGGAAATAAATTAATAAACTGAGGAGGAAGAAACTGTGGCCTGCATCCCTAAGAACAATGCAAAGCAATTTAATTTGGAGATTTCATAAGAGTGATGCTTTAGGGCAGTTTTAACCCAGAAGAAATGAACATATAAATTGTTTACAAATCGCTGAATTTAAATATAATGATTTAGAAGTCCTCTTTGTTTTTCATTTAACAGATGGGTCAAATTAAAAGACATACTTGTGCATTCCCAACATATTTCACTTTTAATGTGAAATGTAAATGACAGCACGATGTCTTTGAACATCTAACAGCAATAAAAACAATTTAGCATTTTCTTCTAGTTGTTAAAAGTGATAAGTTCTATAAAACAGACATTAAATTCATAAATCTCCTGACGATGAGAAAAAGCAAAGTTGAAGGAGACACAAGAAGGAACTGATGCTTTTTTTAGTGTCACGTTATTGTGTGGTACTTGGGAAAATTTACAAAAATGAATTGTAAATATTGAAAGTGAAAGTGTACTTGCTGTAGGTAGTATCAACACTTTCAGGATGGGGTCCAGGTGGGGTGACACCACTGCTGTGATGGAGGAGAAGGTGACAAGGGGCCAAGTGAGGAGAGCAGCAGCATGCTGGGCAGGCAGAGCTCACGTGGGAAAGAGCTGTTGTCCGAGGAAGTTGGCTGTAAGGTTCAAATCTTTCTGCTTATAGCCCAGATGGTTCTGTTGGGGATTTGAAGTCCTTGATGTAGAGATGTCAGTTTCTACTGTTTCTGTTTACTTTGCTACTCTCATGGTGGAGGGACTGCCCCAAAAGCTGCAATAACTACTCTATGCCTGGTATTGGAGAGGGTATACTTCCAGGGGCTGTTCGGCTCAAATGTTGGTAATTTGACTCAGTATTTTGGAGAAAATAAATTCTGTTTTTACAAAGTTGGCTGTGCAGTGCTGTGCCTTATAACTTCCTTCCCAGTGTTGCTGTTGGCTTCATGAGAAACATGAGGCACATGTAAGTGTTTAATGCTCCTGCTCCTGAAATAATGCATTTTGTGCTTTTGGATGGACTGGGGCATACATCCCAAATCTCTGTGTGTGTGATTTCTTTAGTTATTTTCTGAGTCACGTGGGAAAACTCTGCTGCCTCCAGGGGAGTATGAGCCTCCATCTGTATAAGCAGCGTAGATCAGGCCAGTTGACAATGTGTGGGTTACCTACATTTGTTGTTATTAAAACAGCTTTGTTCATGTTGGGACTGCAGATCTTCTAGTGAAGGGCTACAGGGGTCTGGATGAGTGTGGCCTGTCACAAATAGCAGGGAAAATATAGCTGAACTTAATCTTTTGAGTGGTTCATGGCAGCATTTGTTAATAAAAGTTTCTCCGCTCCCAGCAGCGGCAACTGGATAGCTATAGTGCTTATGAAAATACTTGGCCAATGGCACTTTGATGAAACACCACAGTATTTAAAACCTCCTAATACTTGGCCTACCCTGACAGGGATTGCTTCAGTCTTTGTGACTACTCAGTCTTGTCTTTGTCCTGTGGTCACAAAGGCCATGGCAGTGATCAGAGGGCTACCTATATTGTCACAAGGTGCTGCTGGGGACCTCTTGCTGCTCAAACACCTGAGCTCAGGTCCCTGCCACTGTAGTAGTGAGGTGTTAGGAAGGGATGAGCTTGGAGACTTACATGTATTATAACTGGGTTAGAGCAAACAAAGAAGGAGAATGTAATGGAAGGATCCTGTAGAAGAGAAATCCAGCTAGTGCAGTAATTATAACTGTTAAAAAAAGAAGGCACTTTCATAGCTATAACTATGCAAGTTAAAAATCTTTAGGAAATGTTAACAGGTGGCCTGCTCACTAGGAAAGGGAAGTGGTATGGGACAAGCTACCATGCAAGCTGTTGGTGGGGTAGGCTTTGCCATCAGTGGCTACTTCCCAGCAGTGCCCACTCATGGGCCATGGCTACGTTCTTTTTAATCTGGTCAATAATATAAAGCCACACTTATACCAAAGCAGCTGTACGGTTTGTTATCAGACTTGATCTGACTGACCTGAACACATACTCTACAATGAAGTGAGTTTTGACTATCCCAGATGAAAAATTTATTGTTTCTAAAGCTTCTGTAATATTTCCCTTGGCAGCTTCACTTCTGTGCTTCTGCTAAAAGCCTTAATTATTTTGTATGAAGCAATCTCAAACCTACCACAGTAAACATGGTGAAATAAAAAAGTCCTTTAGTGTTGCTACATCCTCTGCTTTTCTTTGTATGCACTTCCAGTGTGCCCCTTGGAGCAGTACTCTTCGTGTGCACAGCAGAGGGGTCCCACTGCATGTGGCTGCTAGGCACTGTTGATGATTTGACATTTGCCAGCTGGCATCCAGGCAGAGCTTTTCTGTCTGCTGACTGTGATGAGAAGTCCATACTGAAGTCTTCATTCCAGAAGAGAGAAATATCAAAGTAAACTGGCTGCTATGGAGGTGTTCAGGTAGATATGTTAAAGCACTGGTGTAGCTGCAATGGGTGACAAGAGCCAGAGATGCAGCTGGACCTACCTAACTGGAGACCCTGGTGCTACCGGGCTGACTCCACCAACTCCCGCAAGCCAAGCAGGGCAGATAATTCTCTCCATTGTCTCCTTCCCGTCTGAAATGCAGCTTTTTTGCTTTGGGACCTTCTGCTATAAGACAAATTTCACCTACATGCCTGGACAGCAAATATTGGACAGTTTCTTTAATGAGCAGGGAAGGTAATTGCTTATCATAGTCTATAGCAGTGCCTCCATTCGAGAAAGGCAGTGTGGTGGTGGGTCTTTCAAAATGTTTTCTTTGGTCTAATGCTTAAGTATGTAAAATATACTGACTGTCAACCTGCAGATGGTAGCAGTGGTGGTTTTGTGTGGTATGGTACAGGTAGATTCAGGTCTAGCCTGCTTTATAGAGCAATATGGTAAGTTTGTGGGAAGTGCTGTAGAAAGAAAGAGAGTCCCTGTCTCTAAAGCCAAATAAAATGGGCAAAAGGGAAAGGCTGGAAAAGCTAGAAAGAGGTTCAGTGACCTGGCCCAAGGCTGCAAATGCTATGGAGAGTCACAAAGGCATCTGCTAAATCTTGTACTA